TTATACTAAGGTGACGCCAGATCATGATCCTTATACTAAGGTGACGCTAGATCGTGATGCCTATACTAAGGTGACGCCAGATCATGATCCTTATACTAAGGTGACGCTAGATCATGATGCTTATACTAAGGTGACGCTAGATCATGATGCTTGTACTAAGGTGGCACTAGATCGTGTTGCTTATACTAAGGAGACGCTAGATCATGTTGCTTATACTAAGGTGACGCTAGATCATGATGCCTATACTAAGGTGACGCTAGATCATAATGCTTATACTAAGGTGACGCTAGATCGTGTTGCTTATACTAAGGTGACGCTAGACCATGTTGCTTATACTAAGGAGACGCTAGATCATGATGCCTATACGAAGGTGCCGCTAGATCATGATGCCTATACCAAGGTGACGCCAAATCATGATGCTTGTACTAAGGTGACGCTTGATCATGATGGTTTTACTAAGGTTACAGCAACGTGGGTAAAATGAATCTTATAGTATCGGATTCCAGCATGGAAAAGTTAAAGAAGCACTTCCGGAATACTTACCCCACCACCGCCTAAAGTTATTTCATGTTCCCAAACATGGTGATTGATAAAATCAAAATTATCTTCGAAAATAAGACAAGGGTAACTTTCACATTCCGACTTCTTGAATTCTGTATAAAAAAGAATTCAAAGTAACAAACAAGTAACAATAACAAGCATTTTCGAATCTCGATAGCGAATGAAAATATCTTATGGTTTCATATAAGACCAACTGATGACGGACATTGCTGGTCAAGTCAATCAAGTTACTTGAAAAGTAATTATTCAAATTGAGTAGCCTAGTATTGGAATATCAACTTGAAATGTCCTTGAATTTGACTTGGACTTTGAAAAGTAATTAATTGAACATGAAAAGTCATTGAATTTGACTGAGTCCATAAATATCATCATATATCTTTCATATATTTGTATTTGTAATAGAGTTGAGTTTGGTCCCGGAAAATTTTTTTTGACCTTGAATTTGTGAGATGAGCTTACCTTGGCAATATTTACCAGTATAATGTTTGGAACAAATACATTTATAATCTGAATTAGACAATCTGGAACATGAACCATTGTTAACACACTGGGATTTATCACATGGATCTACAAACATATTCATTCCATAAGCTTAAGGGACATTACCCTCTAATTATATGGTTTTTCTTTGCATTCATTGCAGATGAACCTGATTTTGTATTACCATTCTATATAGTGTTACGATAGAGTATATCAGATTTTTTACACATTGAATTAGGCGACTATACCCCTTAATAACATATTTACCGTTCATGATATTATACAAATACAAATACACAATTTTATTCAAATATATCGAATCATTATCTGTTGGATACGAAATATTTGATTTGAAATAAAAGCTTAAACTTGTATGTTGATAGGCTTTAATTTCTAATACATGTGTAATTAGATAACTTGTATTTTTAGTGTGTATTTTTAGATATGCTGTAATGGTAAAATTTGATACAGATTTAATGTCCGAAATTTGATGTCCGATCTAGACAGAAACATCTGCCTACATTCCAGCCTCTGATAGCCATTTTGAAAGTTGTATTATCTATCAGAGACTGATGTTTCGGACTACAACCAATTTTTACATCATAAAATAACTTACTAGCTAATCTTTCAATAGAATAATAAGCTGTAAAACCTCTTTTCGCCATATAAAAATCTGATACAAATCTTATCTTGGTTTCCTTATATGCTGATTCAACTGAAATAAACACACCAAATGAGAACGAGAACGAAGTCACAGTGATGGCAAATTTTCCATGTTAAAGCTCATAGCTTTATGTACTTATCGAAGATAAATGGCAAAATCGTATCTTTAATATTCGTGTAATGGCAAAAAAATTAAGGCAGTGGCTATTTACCCATAGGGGCATAAATAGGAAGCTGACTGACTTAATGGGGGAGCAACTGTCAAGGGTGAGTTGGGAATCAGTTGGTGAACGGACAAACGCCTTTTGGAGTCGCCACTGAGAAAAAATGGAAACTGGATCATAACCTGTATATACACCAGTTCTACTGCCACATAGTCTCTGAGAGTAATCTTTATCGAATTCCAAAAAATCCCATTCGCATTTCGCTTCTTCTTCAATGTCCATAAACGTTATATTCAGAGTGACAGAATATGCTGAATCTTTGGGTAGGTGAAGAGTCCACGTCTTGTCCACATTCAAAGGATAGTTCACCCCATCTTGAAAACCAGGACTGGATATAGATCCTTGTGTAGCAGTTATGTCCACATTGCTGGCTATGGCTGCAAAAACGGAAATATATACATTACTTACTAGAGTAGCCACATTGTTGGCTACAACTCATAGACCATGAAATGTGCATTACTTACTGGAGTAGTATATGTAGTATGAATGTCCACTTTACTAGCTATACAGCTAAATTATATGCCTTGAGTAGTATAATTATATATGTCTACGTTGCTAGCTATACTGCTTCAAAACTATGAAATATATGCCTGACGTATTAAAGAAGAATACATGGCGACATATAGATACAGCTGAAAACCATGAAATTAATGCATTACATGTTCACATTTTTGGCTATAGCTGCAAAACTGCATGAAATATATATATGCCTGACTTCCTACAGTAGAAGTTATAACTATGTCCATGTTGTTAGCCATGTAATATGTAATAATGCCCAATTAATAATCTATGTACAGAGAAAGGACATGCTGGAACACTCGACACTGGCACCTAGACATTTTCACGATGTCAACCATTACAGACTTCGTCTTATACCTTGACTTCAATAGCCATTTTTCTGGTATCACGGAAGTTTGTTGCAGCGATTTGATTGGATTATACCTTAACGAATACAGAAAATCATAGTTCCCGGCAGAAAGTCTATAAAAATAAGCCATAGTATGTACAGTCAAGTGCTCTGATTGGTTGTATTCGCTGGCGTACAATCTAATCAAATTGCTGCATTCAATACAAGAAAGGTGGCTTTTGCAGTCAAGCCATTAAAAACTTTGTCGTAAGCTTGACATTGTGAAGATGACACCAAGACGGTGACCCATTTCACCAAGCAAAGTACCAATTATTATTGCATTAAGCAATGCAAACCTTTACATTATGCAGTTGAATAGTATTACTATAGTAAAGCATGTATTTAATAATTTACACTGTAAATTACTTCCTTACCTTCTCTCTTCTCACGTTTTAACTGAAAACAAAAGAAATGATCGAGGGAGGTGATGTATTTGAGTCTGTTTATTTTATTGATAATAGTGGATTCGTGTGCCCATTCGAAGAGGCATTTTGTGTTTACCGAATGTCTATGCCTGGATCATTCTAGTCTCAGATTCATATCAATTAAATAAATCAATTCTTATGGATATATAGATACTTCTATAATTATTCCAGAAGTAGCCTATATATCCATAATGATAATTGTCTTATCATTTTTTGCCTCCTTTGAAAAATGGTTTGTACCCCCGTCCCCCAGGGCACTTTAATTTCAATATATTTCAAAATATGATTTTTATACGTTTTGCCTCAAAAATATGTGAAGAATTCACCAAATCAATTCATTCTAGGAAAGGCTTGCGACAAGACACCTTTTGAATTAAGCCTTGACAGTTAAGTCAGTATGCCTCCTGTCTCGGGAGGTTGCCGCCGCCATTTTTCTGATCAGAAAAATTGCCAATATACAACCTGAGATGCTCATCATCATCCCATCTAATGTGGATTTTCTGAAAAATTTCCCCCATTTCTCATTGCAAAAGATTTATATTTATATCGAATTTGGATTTATAAAAAACATAAAACATATATATTTCCTCATAAGAAAAATTCATTAGCTACTATGTTTCGCTAATACATTTTGGGTTTCTGTTTTGTTTAGTACTTGGTTTATTAGACAAAAATAAATAGAACAAACCTTAAGAATTTCGCCATTAATATAAAAACAGAACAATAGTATTAAGAAAATCGTATAACTACCACCCATAATTGTGACGAGATCTCAATGCTGAATAGCGAGCGATATTTAACATCACAATTATATAGTAGCTTTCAAAAATAGCACCATTGTCGAGAAGCCTGGTTTGTTTTATCTTACTGGCAATCGTACATCTCATGTTGTCTCCTGTCGTGCTGTTTCGGATATATAACCATCATCAGGTCAGTTGGTCTGACTTTTGGTACAACAATTTCTGTTGGTTAAAAATTTAGTCTTATTTGTCATATTGGTGAAATATTTAAAGTTGATTGTTGACGGACCACTATTCAAGTTATATAAGTGAAACACTACCTAACTTAAATATGAGAAAAATCACAATCCTTTCAATTCATTTCAAGGCCGCGATATTCAATAGAAACCAACCATCAACAACAAAAACACAATATTTATCATTTATTATTTATATCGTGTCCATGACCGTATTTGAGATACGATGGTGCGTCTAAAGCCAAATAAGAATTGATTGGTTTTGTGATTTGCTATGGCAAGAAATTCCCCAAATAACAAACTTGCAGGTTTCGCTTTATAATATTGGGTATAATAGTAGGAGAGAATACGTTAAAAAATGAAGTGACGGTATTCTATAGTCTTCCCCTTTTTAGAAAGGTAGAATATCTGAGATCGGATATAAATCCTGACTAGTGATATGATATGAATCAGCATTGGTAAAGTAAATATTCAAACGCTAACCATTTAAAAAAAAGCTACGTAGTCCGAAACTGTAACTGTGTTTGCGACGTTGTTAGCTAAAATATAACCAAATTGCAGCGTTTATGAGAAAAATTGGAGTGTTATTCTGGTTTTTTCAGCTCACTTCAGCTAGACCTGGGGAAGTAAGACCAATTAAAGATATTTTTACATTTCATTGTCACGTGCTAGTGAACCAATGTGAAAAATTTGCATTCATTTACTGATGAACTACAAATTTCCTTAACGATCACTGATGACGTAATTACGTCGTAATGACGTCATCTCCTGTGACAACTTGGGACTCGGCGTATGAATACACAAAAACTTTCAACTAAAATGTAGACAAGATATGATAGAACAAATATCGGTTTCCGAGTTTGTGTTGAATATCTAAGTTATTTGTTTCTCTTACAGATGAACTTTCAGAAATGTATTTTCATTCGTTGGTAAAAAAAATACTTCATTAACCTTTCACTATTTTATTTGTGTTGTTGTATATTCATACGTCATCTAAGTCTAGCAACATAGGGGCGGGGCTTAAAGTTAATTAGCAGGAGATGTGTTGCAGTTTTTTTCGACTTTTCAGATAGGTTTAACTATATTATTGCAATAATTTTATCCTTAAAAGTATGGTGATAGATTCATGAACACTACCGAATACGAATGTACATATGAGGATTGGATGTAGATTTTTTTAGCGTTCATTGGTTGATGAACGCCGAATTTTCACGTGTTAAATCTTAAATGAATGGCTTTGCCAAAAAAATCTACATCCAATCCTTAATTCAGTAGTCAATTTGACGTTTATAATGTATTCATAGTCGATTTGGCACTGGACGATTTGACCCAGTATGACCTAATAATCGAGCAAAGCTGCAGATTTTGAAACTTCTGCACTCAGGCTCGATAATCGCCTCATTTTACTGATAAGATTGATGGATGTGAGATCTATTAGACATATTTTGGTGTCTTAGTTAGACAAATATCTAACAGTTGATAGAACGTGTTAAAATCTATTACATTTGGATTAATAATTAACTTTTTATAAAAACTGACTGGTAGTACGTGACTTGTGTCTATTTTGTACACTGTCATGTGACTTGTTTGATCACGTGATGTTTATTTTTAGAAGTATTGTCCATACTTCGTTGAAGATTATCAAAGTCAACCCGACTCATAAATTACAAAATTTATTCTACAAGCTACAAGGTAGGTGTTTGTCAGTTCTTTTAAACGGTGCTTGGTCTTTCACAGATGACAATAAAATCTGACTGCATAGTCATTTGTTGCATGAATTAGAGATTTTTTCTAAATAGGCGTTGGAATTGTCAAGAAAGAAAAAAGGAAAGATCCAATGTCGGCATGAAATTATTTCTTGGCGTGACTTGGGTATAAAGATTGTCATATTCTGTATTAATTATGCAAATCAGTAGAGGACCTTATGTTTTGCATAGTGTTTCATAATTTTTTTTATGTTGAAGCATTTACAATTTCATTGAAAAAATCATAAATAATTAGTCCTACATTTTATTTTAGAAATGATTCAGCATTTTTTTTTTAAAAAAGACATCTCAATAAAAATTGTAATAGCCACACAAGTATCAATGTTGATAAAAGTTATAAATGGAATTGAAAAAAAAAGCTTATGCAGTTGTCTTGGTGAGAAGAGCATTGGTTCCTGAACTTTAAATTCATATTTCAATAGTGGTTAAAGCATTGCATTGAAAACAATACAGGCACTGGACAAGTTTATAGTTCTAGAAAATAAACTTGATCATGTGTTGATAAGTAAAATAATCTGACAAGAGAAGTATCCCATTTTGGCTTAGGTTAGAATCAATTGAAAAACTTAAAACTGGGGAGAAACAATTTGTACTGTTCCTAACATAGGCCTATTGCTTGCAAAAAGTGGTAGTGTGATACGAAAATCAGGAGCACATAATGGCAATTCTTTACTGACATTAACAGTCTTCTTCCCGACCTGTCTGACTAGAGAGATAAATGTTTTT